GCAAACCCGATCCCTTCGATGGAAGTGGGGGTGTCCTCGCACTAATTCAATGGTTCGAGAGGACCGAAGCAATCTTTGAGATTTCTGCTTGCCCCGAAGCGAGCAAAGTCAAGTACGCGACATTCACCTTCATCGGAAGAGCTCTCACTTGGTGGAACGGCAAGTTAAGTCGCTTACGCTTACAGTGGCTAACTCGTTAAGTTGGGAGGACTTAAAGAAGATGATGTTGAAGGAATATTGCCCAAGAGGTGAAGTGCAAAAGCTGGAGCAAGAACTATGGAATCTCAGAATGGCAGGCTCCGACCTTACAACTTACACCAACCGATTTTGTGACCTAGCACTCCTTTGTCCCGCTATGGTCACCCCGGAAGACAAAAATTTGGAGCGTTACCTCTGGGGATTGTCCCCCGAAATTCAAGATAGCGTGTTGGCCTCAAGACCAACTACCTTCGACAGCGCCAAGGAGTTAGCACAACAACTCATTGACCATCATGCCAACCATGAAACTAGGACAACCACCCTTACCCAAGCAAGAGGAGGGAACAGCGAAAGAAAGTTTTGGGACAACAAGAAGGACCAATCAGCCCAAGGCCTCACTAAGAAGCAACAGATCCTTGCTGTTCATGCTGCCACAACCCTCACCACGCCGACTCCCAGGAAACCATACGCTGGAACACTTCCGAAATGCAACAAGTGTAACTTCCATCACACTGGGGCTTGCCGAAAGTTGCATTGCAAAAACTGCGACAGAGAGGGGCACACTGCTCGTTTCTGTAAGGCACCAGCACGACCCATCAACCAGGTACCTGGCTCTGGAGTAAGCCCAACCTATTTCGAGTGTGGAGAAACGGGACACTTTAAAAGGGAATGCCCAAGGACAAGAGATGCCGGTGGTGGTGGGAGGGTGCTTGCAATCACCGAGGGAGAAACCATTCCGGAACTGCCCGCAAATATCAGTACGTGTTTCTATCATCGACATTTAAATCCCGAATTTCTTTATATGCTAAATCTAGCATCGATTAAAGCATGCATAGTAGTAATCATGTGGCATCGGGCAAGTTATTCCTCACCATAATCAAATTCTTGTACTACGAAAAGTTATCCCCATCTTTCCCTCTAAATTCCTGGATCCCCATTCGAAGTGCAAATTTCGGGACGAAATTCCCTTTAACGGGGGGATGATGTGACAACCGTCAAATTTTGGTCAATTCAAAGTCAAATAAAGTCAACAAGTCAAACCGGTCAGCTCAACTAACCCTTGTGTACTTGGACTTACGTTCAGTATTTACTAAACAACCCACTATTCTAATAAGAGAACATAAATCGAAAAGTACGTACAACTAGATCTCTTTAACCTAAAAACTGTAGTACGTGGCGAGCCAAACCGATAAAACAATGATGCATACTCAACGGGAGTGTGTAAGATCCTTAAACAAGGCTTAACAGGGTTTACGAACCATGCATTACGGTGCCGGACACTCACAACTGTCCCACACGGACCTCTCTCAATTGTTTTCACTCTATCTCTCTCTATGTCAAATCTCTCCCTAATCTCTCCAAGTATGTGAAATCTCCCTCTAATATCTCTCTGTATTAGAAATCTCTCCAAGAATGTCAAACCTCTCCCAAATCCCTCTAAGCATGAGAAATCTCTCTCAAATATCTCTCTGTATGAGAAATCTCTCCAAGAATGTCAAATCTCTCCCAAATCTCTCCAAGTATGTGAAACCTCTCTCAAATATCTCCTTGTATGAGAAATCTCTCCAAGAATGTCAAATCTCTCCCAAATCTCTCCAAGTGTGAGAAATCTCTCTCAAAAGTTTCCCTTAACTTTTTGGAATCATTCGGGTCATTCCGACCCTTAACCGGGTCAAAAACGGCTCAAAACGGGGCGAAAACGAGAAAAATAGGCTTTAGGAACCGAAACCAAGAGAGAAGCTTCTTAGGACCCGAAGGTCCTCTTAGGGACTGAGAGCAAGAGGAACCGAACCCTCCTGAGGCCGAACCGAAACCTCCTGAGCCGAACCGAAACCTCCTGATGCCGAACCGAAACCTCCTGAGCCGAACCGAAAACTCCTGAGCCGAACCGAAACCTCCTGAGCCGAACCGAAGGTACTGTTCATCTAACCAAACCGAAAGTACTGTTCATCTAACCGAACCGAAGGTACTGTTCACTACAGTCCGTTCGGTTCTGACATTCTCGCCTCTTATCCCGAACCGAACCCCAATGACCCTTCGGACCGAACCCTCGCCCATCGCTCTCGCGTCCGACTCGCCCCTTTCGTTTTCCCTCTGTTCGTTTCCGACTCCAACCACAGCGTGGACCGAGCCTCGGCCTAGGGACCGAACCTCGGCCTAGGACCGAGAGGTCTCGCTGAGAACTCTTTTCTTCCCGGTTTTCGCATAGTTTTGCATTTAAGGCCCGTTTTTAATTATTTTAACACGGGATTTTCACCCAAAATCATATTTTAACATAATAAACCCCAAATATTCACAATTTAATCATATTTTCATAAAAAATCTTTATTTAAATAATAAAAGCAAGTGGGTAAAGTACAAAGAGGTGGAGTGTTGACTTTGCTTTACCTTATAACACAAGCAACCACTCCCACACCCACTCTATGACCAGCCACACCCCCCACCTTACCTAGGTCACATCAATGTCTTTTCCACTCAATTATCCCTCTTTCCCACGTTTTTAAGTGCTGATTATTCATCCTCTCTCGTCACTTCTCTCATTTGCTCTCATTTCACAAGAAGATCAAACTCTTTCCTCTCTCACTTTCTCTCTCTAGAAATTCGAGATTCAAGGGCTGATCTTGAGTTTTTCCTCCACATTTGGTAAGCATAATCCATTCTCTTTATGATTATCTCATTTATTTCCACTCAAATCATGGATATCTTAGACAAACTCTCTCATAATTGTGTTAGATCTTCGAATCTTCAAGTGATTCTTCAAGTGTTCTTGGGTTGAACACTTATCTTCTTCAACACTTACCTACTGAAATCACTCAAGGTGAGTTCATACCCCTACATTTTTATGTTTTCTCAAGTTTTCAGGGGGGGAATACAAGTTAAAACACTAAGAACATAACTAAATTTTTCTAACAGCCTTCATCAGAAAAGTTCAACTCCATTCACGGACTGTTTTGGGCCTCTTAAACATTTTTGTTTTCAAAACTGTACAAGGTGCAAATAGTTCAAGTTTGTAGCTTTAAAATGACTACTTGCACATCTCCATACGATTTTTCTACAATTTATGGTGATTTTTACAAAACTGCCTATCATTTCAAACAACAATCCGGACCAGTCTGTGATTTTGGATTTTTTCACCCAAGTTAGAGGTCATTATAAATTGTGATAAAAATTATGAGCAAACTAGACACATTTTGTGAACTCTCAGAATTTACGGATCTAGTTTTCGACTTCGTATGATTTTTCTATGATTTTTCCAAAACAGGGCAGAATTGCTAAATTTTGCCAACAGCATGTAAATATCATAACACTTTGTATTATGTTGAGCAAAGTGTATAATCATAAGTTTTAGTATTTGAATGTGTTTCCTTGTTAGTTTATCATTATGAACTGAAACTAAGACATTCATATTAAATATTATTCATTCATTTTGGAACACGTATTATTTAACTATAAAAAGTATAGTTTGAATAAATTCATAACACTAATACATTCCCATAAAAGAGTCCATTCATATTACATACATTTTAGATAAACTATAATAGGTATAGTTTATGATACATCACTCAACGCACTAGTACAAGAAGGGTACATTCATACAAGAAATATTTATATTCACACACATTTCACGTAAACTTGTTAACCTATATTGTGAGACTCTCTCTCTCTCTCTCCCCGTACGTCCGAGTGCGGGATATAATTCCTGGTAGTTATAATCAGAATCTCCTTGAGGGAGAACGTGATACTTGTATATAGATCTATATTGGGATTGACACCCCACACCTTGCTGCTAGCTACAGTTGGACCTGCAGGTCTACGGGTGACAAATGTCATTTCATTTTTCGCGACACTGAGAACGTCGTGGCAGGTTCACATAGTCATAGTATGATTATAGCGACTCACATAGGGATATAACAATCCATAAGTTTACGAGATTTTATTTTTAAAACCTAAATGAGTTTTATGTCGAATTAAAATCACCTTTTTATCTCTTGAGTACAGATATTACTGTACACTTTTGGTTTTGGTAGTTACGACTACACATCGTTTGAAACCACATTTATACTTTTAAGTATGGTCAATACTTGTTATTACTCGGTCCTCTAATTTAGGACTACATATATATAATGTATTAACAAACTATTTTTCATCTAGAACTGTTAGACTTCAACTATAATCGCTGAGCGTACATGTTTGAGTCCTATAAGAATTTAGTCTTGATTGGCCTAGAATTGGTGGTGCCCGCCTCATCTCCTGTTCCTCGTTGGGTTGTGGACCTGGGGCAGACCCACTACATTCAACGTTTTATCTAATTTAAACCTTATATAACTTTTATACGTTGGACGATTATAGAGGAACTCTACGGGTTACTCTAGGGTCCATTAATGCATCATGTAGAAATATTTCTATTCACACTTAACTAAGAAAATATTGGATTTTCTGGAAATCAAACTATATCGATCTTACAAGGAAAAACGGTTTCTACTTTAAACAAAACTCTTATGAACTCACCAACCTTTGTGTTGACACTTTTTAAAACTACTTGTATTCTCAGGAAATCAGTGAAACAGGAAAACTTCATCGCTTTGAGGATGGGACGTTAAACCGTCAACAATTCATTTTGTCATCATAATGTAATTGCTTTTGAAACATATAAACATATACTTTGGTGTAACTTTTGCAATTATATATATGGTGGTTGTTTCTACTTTGAGCACTATTATACACGTTGTTGTGATACTGTACATGAAGTCCTCCACCCTCAGACGTTTCCGCCATCCTTGGTTTGGGGGTGTGACAGAATTGGAATTCGTGATTCCATTCCAATAGAACTAGAATCTCACCAATATCATCCATTGAATCATCTACATAAACAAATTGATTTTTATCATTTAAGAAGAATAAAATTTGATATGGAAATAGTGACAAACTACCTTCACTTTCAAAATAGTCGAAATAGTGATCAGATTTATAAAGTCTTTTAAAGATATAAAATGATGCCAAGAAGTAAAATGCATTTATAGTGTTACTTGCAAAAGGGAACTTTACAGGTTGAATCAGGTAGTTCGCAGATGGAATAATGGAGTTTGAAGAGATGCCACAGCCTTTTGCACCTAACACACCCTCCATTCATTCTTTTCTTACAATGTGTCATGTGTTGAATCGAGAGTTGCAGGCCTTGACATGTTGAGAATTTGCTACATGGATATATGTTCTTGGTAGGTTCTTTGTTGCATGGTCCTACACTTATGCTACCTTCTGTGCAAATATGTTCTAAACAATCCATGGCTTCACTCAACTGAAGATAAAAGTTCTGTTCTTTCTTACGCTTCTTGCTTCTCTTCCTCAACTGCACATTAATTTAATCGGAATCAATAATCAGATAGAAAGCAGTTTATTAAACTGATTAATGTTTGATTTGTTGAACATAAACATATAAACTTTTTTTATTTGTTATTAAGACCACTTAAAGAAGAAACTAGTTTTAACAGAATACTCACCGATTCAGATTCATCGATGATCTGGAGGATTTCGAGCTCGAGGAAAGGATCATTGGTATGAAGAAACTTCCAACCTTCAGTTTTCTCAACAGATTTGAAGCTATTAGACACGAGTTTTACACATTTGAGGTGAAGATCAGGTGCATTACAGAGTCTCGCAAGTTGAAGAACATCAACTAAGTTCTCAATTGTTAACCGTTCGATCAAAGCTTTGCTACAACACGATTTCAGTTGTGGGACCTGGTAGACATGAAAAAGCGCCAATAGATGAATCCCGAATTTCTCCATGTTGTCTTCTGTGCACTAGAAACGATGGTGTTTTAAAGATAAAACATTTCCATCGCTAGGGTTTGCTAGGATTGCTCGGCTGCAATACTCCTCAGGCCTCAAGAAATCACCTTGCACTTGTTTGAATGACTCAATCAGGTCAAAATTGGCCAATAGATCGGAAGCCAAATGAAACTTTATCCGGTAAAAGACGAAATTGAAATCTGTGAATGATGAATATTGTAAATTACCTCAGGTATTTTGCGCAATTACTGAGAATCAATGAATTACCGCAGGTAAATTACCATTACCATCACCGCCTCCATAGATTTTTCCACCACCGTCGCTTACACCGGTGTGCAGGAACTCCTATGGCCATCCCGCTCCTCTGCGTCGGTGGGATTGAAGTTAACGAGGAAGAAGGGATGGTGGAATGGTTGGTTATGGAAGAAAATTGAGAGAAAGGAGAAAGAATTCTCAGTGGCGAGATGAATTGATTTTGTTATTCAATTTTATCGGTGGAGGAATGAAACACGATTGCCAGAATCACAACATCAATCCCTAAGAATCTGGTTGTGTTGACCAAAATTATAGGGACTATTTGTGGAAGCTATTTATCTAATTACTAAAATCCTTGTTTATTTATTTAGTTATTTAAATTTTTATTTAATTTTGATTGGCCCACATTTATGCATACAATAACACAATAATTATTTTAAACACCTGAACATATATATATATATATATATATATATATATCCTTTTCTCTCTCTCTCTCTCTCTATATATATATATATATATATATATATATATATATATATATTAATCAACCAATAAAAAATAACTAGATACATAAAAAAATGTTTATATAATTTAGATTGAAGTACCAATAATAAACTCAATGTTGAAACACAATGATTTCAATTTTGATATTCTATATTATATGACCTCCAACTTAATTAATATGTAACAAAAATAGAATTTTATAGTCTAAACTGGAATACAAATATTACACCACATGTTAAATTAAAAATAATGTCATTCCGACTTCAAAGTGAAAAAGTTATAACATTTTAAAGAAAGGAAAATTATGCATAATGTTGAAATAAAAAATTATTTCAAAACCTACAACTCAATAAATGTGTGACAAGTGGCTAGTGGCGGATCAGTTCGAAAGTCAAGTGGGGTGCATTGTTGACTTGTGACAATCGACCGTTGACCTTCGTCCTTAGTCCGTCAACCTATTATCTTCGACCTTCGATTTTTTAAAAATCTTTCCATTTTCTAGTTAATAGAAATAATAAATCATTATTCAATATATAAAACTCAACAATGAACAAAGAACATGTACATCTCAACAAGAACATATCAAGTCCAAAGGCTTTACAAAATTTAAAATAATACTAATAATCAACAAGGGAGTGAGATTTTTATGAAAAATTATATGGATCTTTTACTCTAAAACAACTTATATGCTAACAATACATTATACATTTATAAACCCATACCACTTCCAACAAATGATTTCCAATACAACGATAAAAGTCATACAAACAATGATTTCCACAACAAAAATTGTATATGCTACAGTTCGAAGATTTACACAACAATACTTTATACATTTATACAACCACAAAAAAATACAAACCAACAAAGATTGATTTCCCTTAAAAATAAGATCAAGCTAATAAAATTAATGTAACACATAGTTTCCATGATGTTTCTAATTTTGGTATAACGGGTCGTAATTTGATTGAGTAAAAGTCTTGGGCTTCAAAGAAATAACGTTTAAATCTAGTCCGATATTGATAATGTTGGTTAAGTGATTAAAGCCCTTGAATTGTGTCTTGAAGCAAAGGGTAAAATGGAAAAGGTAATATCTAAAGTTTCTTCCATGAATTAATGAGTTTAGTTCGGTATGTTTTAAGTAAAAAATAATTAAATGAGATTGTGGGGCTTGTCGATACCTTCACGTGCATATAAAGATCGTCGAAAATAGAGTTAGAGCGAAGAAGTTATAATTGTTTGAAGTTGGAGACTTAAATTTGGAATTCAACTGGAGTGCGGAGCGCACCTAAAGAGAGCAGGGTGCTTTACGACCCAACCCAAATGTTGTATTTTTAGGGTATTTAAGTACCATTAACCCCTATGCTTTGATACATGCTCTTACACACATATTCTTCATCTATCTTCATCCCAATACCTAGGGGCATTGCCCCAAGCTCCAACATACATACATATATACATAAAAATATATAACATAAATATAAAGAGAGAGAGAAAGAGAGAAAGAGAGAGGCGGGGGGGGGGGGGTAATAACTCACCTTATCAGTTAGTGATGACTAATCGTCCCATCTTCATATACTCTGTTATTGATGCATCTTGATCCATTTTTCTCTCTCTTAGGCCTAAGCATACATGCATTTAAGTGTCTTATTACTTGTTTTAGCCTATTAAGAGCTTTTGACTCTTAAAGTCAACATAACCACTTAATGGATCAATTTTCTATCTCTTCATTCTTTATCTCTTATTCTCAATCAATTAATGAATTAAGTATCCCATAATGCCTAATTCATTACAATCTATCAATCTAATGCACCGATTCATAGCCACATTAGTTAGGGTTTCAATCCCTAACTTCAGATACATTGATTCCACCATGGAAATCACTTTCTGAGTTTTGGTTAAAGCTTTTAGACACTATCAATAGCATCATACTTCGTCTATAGACCAATCAAGCCAAATAATTTAATCAATTCATCAAAACACCATTATGTAACACCCCAAAAATATGAAGGTAAAAATTTCATATTTAGAACAACCAAAACACCCTTTGATCATTTACTTAAACACTTAAAGATATTTACAATAAAAATAATTATCTGAGTAAAATCCCAAAATCTCAAGCTTGCAAAAAATATAGGTGTATGCGTTGCGATCAAGCCAGACCCTTCCCTTTCGAACTGGAAGTACCTGAAACCATATATGACAACTGTAAGCACAAGGCTTAGTGAGTTCCCCAAATACCACATAACATACATAACATACGAGTCATACTTACCAAACATACAATAAGAGGTGATATGTGCGAACCATAGTCTTTCCATTATGCCACGAGCCGTATCATGGTCTTTCCTTGCCATACCGGGAACCAAAATCCTGGGTCTTACAGACAAGTGCCAGGAGCCACCTACTTGTCTTCCATGCAAGCATCACAAACACAACTAGCATATAATTTACAATAACTTATCTACTTAACTGCCAGAATCCAAACTCAGGTCTTGCATATAGATTTGCTAGGAGCCACCTCATGGTCTTTCATAAAAACGCCAAGGGTCACCCCTTAGTCTTCCTATAATATATAAACTAAATGGGTTGGTATTGGTGCCTTCGACCCATAATACAGTGAGGAGAATCACCTCAATAGTTGAACCCACAAATAAATCTCCAACTGCAGATCTGCCAAAATCCCTGCACTATCAAACATAAATAACATTTAATTAATGACTCGGTCCCAACTCACACTAGGAGTCCAAATCAAGGTAAAAGACCTTTTTACCATTCCTCAAACTTGGCACAAGGTTAAGGCCCAAACTAGATGACCAAAAGCCCAAAATCTAACAAGCACACCCAAGGCCCAAATATGACCCGATTTTCCAAATTGTGCCCAATCCCTTTCATGGGCCTTCACCAAAGAGAGTCCAATAAAGTCCCAATAGCCCAACCTTAAAAACCAGATAGTCTAACAAGGCCCACTACAACCAAGCCCATCTTAGCACAAAGTCAAAGCCCAAAATGAAGAAATCCAAGTCTACAGAGTACGTGGGGCGTAGTCAGCATGTACACTCAACGTACTGCATGAAAGGCTTGTACGCATAACGTACAAAATTATACGCCCAATGTACTCACCCGTCATGGCCAACTTTCCAAACCAGCTCTTAATCAATTAAGACTTTGATCCAAACTCAAATCTAACTTCCCCAAGGTGGTTAATCACATAAAGTTGCCAACTTTATGTGCATGCATGGCTAAATGGGCTATAAAGTTCAAAGGAGCTTAATACTTGACTTAATACATGCATGGTACCAAAACCACCATAAAGTTTGCACCTTGATGCCCAAGGAACCCATAATATATCCAGATATACAAAGATAAGCTCTAAAACGACCTTAACTCACAATCACTAACCAAAAGGACCAAAATGGCCAATAATGTGCCAAGAAGTAAATTGTGACATCCCCAAAATCTCGGCCAGAAAAGTTCGATTTTCATTCATGCTTTTAAAATAATTTCAGAGTAAATCCTTTTGATTTGAAAGAGTTGCGGAATTTGTTCCCAAAAACAAAACATGATAAAACAATGTTTACCAAAGCATTTCATAAAAGAAATGTATTTTCATTATATAATCAAAACTCGGGGTGTCATGTTCCGATACAGACCAATAAGCATAAACGATAACATTACAAGTCATTCAACAAATATATACATATACAGACTTGTAAACAAAACAACTTGATGGTTAATCCATCTTACGCCCTCGCGCCACTTCCTGTAATACAAATAAAACTGAGTGGGTCAGGCTTGGGAGCCTAGTGAGCATATAGGGTTTTCAACCCACAATAAATAATTAAATTAATTTTCATCAACCAACAATAACCCAATTACCCATTCCCGTTATTCTCACTTTATGTCCCTAAAATAACTAACACAAGGGACCTAGTCTAAGAATATTTCATCGAGGTGACAACACATGCTTCGGGGGTTCCTCAGCAATATAAGTTAAATAAGGCAACCATGAGGGGGATGGAATACAGCGAATGAACACCCAAGTTCATTAACACCTACAGGTTATGAGCCTGCTAGCGTTCCACGGGAATGTCTAGAAAAGTCTGTGGTCGTCATCTAAATTCCGCTAGATGACTAGATCAAAACAACATCGAGGCCTCTCATCTGTTTATTACACACCAACTATCTACCCACGTTCTACCCAGCATATTAGTAGATAAAACTTACATTTTTAT